ATAGAACACCCTTCCAACAGAAATTCGGCTGCCACCCTCGCTGGGTGTTTTTAAAAGCCACTTAAAAACTTGGTTATTCAAGCAGGCCTTCCCTCCAGTCAACTAAGTCTCTCTTATTTTTCCTTTCTTATGTTATTCCATCCTGGTAATCCTTCCTCAATTAATTGAAACTGCAATTGTAATTTTTATGATTATATATATATATTTATACTGATCCGTTTTATTTTGTAAGCCGCCCTGAGTAGACATGGACTAGAGGAGTGGGGGTAAAAATCTAATAAATAAATAAATAAATAAATGTGCTCAGAATACCAGTTAGATGGCATCCATTATATCAATAATGAATACGCACCCTTTAATTATTTCCAGTTATCTCTCTTGCCACTTTCATGCTGCCATCCCCATGGATGGACCCAGGACCACACATGAATGAGGATTCCAGGTTGCCACATTTATACCTAATAGCAAGCATATGTGATAAAAGCAAGGGTGAGACTTGGCTTCAGTAAAAAAAACAACAACCCTGTGTATATCACTTTTCTACATCATAGAAGTTATGAGGATAAATGAGATAAGCCCTGTGCTTTGGAGAGAGGGAGGAGTGGGAGAAAGTTACAATAATTGAGATATCTTTTCTTAGCTTCATTGGGATGGAACCTCACTGACTCAATAACAAAGATGATCACAGATGGGTCTCTCCCCCCTCCCCAATCTTAATAATTTAACAAGAGTTGATGAACCTATACTACTTAAACATTCTCAGCATCACAAACTGGCTTGCCTAGTTATTTATTTAGAGCAGTTTTTCTGATTTTGAAGAAGCAATGCATTCCAAGCAAGCTAGCTGTTAACCTGTGGTCTCATGGACTGTAGCATAAACAGTTAAGAAATAATTCCTCTGGGGGGAGGTTGTCGCAAATGCGGTCAACAGCAGGACTTCAAGGCCTGCAGTGGCTTCTCTTTTTTTATTTGTTTTTATTACGTTTCAGCAATAAAGGTAAAAGAAAGGTATGGTCATATAACAGTCTCAAACAAAATTCTCTATCTTTTCACACAATTATATATCTTTAGATTTTCATCTTTCAATTTCTGATATGCAAGGCAGATCTTTAATTTAACTTATAATGTTGACCTAGGGATTTATAAAATTCTGACCATCTTTCTTCATAGTCCTCATAATGTCCATTTGGTTTCAGTAGTGTTGAGATCCATTTTTGCACAACTCAACACATCCATTATTAATTGGTCTTCATCAGGGATCTTGTTTGTCTTCCATAGTTGTGCATATATTATTATAGCCACCATAATGATATGAATCATTACACATTTCTTATGTTCGTCCATATTTTGTTGGATCATAGGCAGTAGAAATGTTTCTGGTTTCAGCTAAAGATTAATTAACATTGTTTGTGATATAAATGCTCGTACACTACCCCAATATCTTACTTTCTTACACGTCCACCACAGATGGAAAAAAATATCCCCTTTCTTCATTACATTTCCAACAAATAATGGATACTTTATACATTTTAGACAATTTATCAGGAGTTAAGTACCACCTATAAAACATTTCATGTAAGTGTTCTTTAAGTGTTTTTGGCTTTGTGATCCTAACATTAATCTTCCATAATTTTTCCCATTCTACCAAAGGAGTTTCTGAACCAATACTTCTGAGCTCATCTCACAATCTTTTATTATCTCATCTTCTGTCTGTCTAACGAATAAGTAATTAAAGATTTTTAAAATTAATTTTCCATTAGACGAAAAAATTATTTTATCAAAATCGACTTCTTGATTTACAAAACTATGTTGCTTTTTATCACTGTTAAACCAGGATTTTATTTGCATATCTAACCACCTTTAAAGCCTTGTAGCTGAAGTTCTACTTTTGATTTTAGTTTGTAAATTTTGAGTTAGTAAGTCTTTGTATCTTAGGATTTTCCCTTCCTAGGCCTTCTTAATGTCTGGTGATGTTGGCTCAAAGTAAAATCTAGTATTTCAAAACAGAGAGGAGAACAGATGGGGAAAATATTTAATATTATTATCTGTCACTGCAAAACAGATAAAAACAAAAGATCAGGGAAAACAGCTCTGCTCAAACTGGGAAGATAAGTCTTTTGGAGGCATCAGGAAATAATCAAGAATCAAAAACAGGGTGTCTGAAGTTTTACTCTGCTGAAACCATAACAACTAGGAGCTTGCTTTCTGGTTTAATTCTGTGCTTAATTCCTTTGCAATGCTTTGTTAGTTTACAAACAATACATCTTAAGTTTCAGATGTGCTTCATAAGTGAGATACTACCTATTTAAAGATACCAGCATTTCTTCCAGAATGTAACAGACGATTCTTACTTTTGTCATCTCAATCTGGCAGCTGTAGTTTTAGTTACCCTTACCCAGGAGACATTTAGTCAGTGTTTTGTACCAGCCAGTACTGATCTCATGAACTGAAGTGACCTTGGTTCAAAAACCTGGTCAGCTGTAAAGCTCACCACAGGGCCTTGGAAAATTATGAGTCTGTCAGAACTGTGGTGAGAGTGAAATGGCCATCAGATATACCAACCTGGGAAAAAGAAAAAGAAGAACAGAAGTATTGTAGCAGTTTCAAAAGAATGTATTTATTTCAGTGTGATTTTTTGTGGACTTCAGTTGACTTCTTCAGAAGCTACTTGGTTTAAACCAGTGTGTTTTAAAGCAGTGATTCTTAACCTTGGGTTACTCAAGTGTTTTTGGACTGCAACTCCCAGAAGCCTTCACCACCAGCTGTGCTGGCTGGGGTTTCTGGGAGTTGCAGTTCAAAAACACCTGAGTAACCCAAGGTTAAGAACCACTGTTTTAAAGGATCTATATCCTATCTCTATAAGATTGTACCATATGTGGAGATAGGTAACTTTCAGGTGCTGCATTCCACAATCATTCTATGTGTCTCTGCATGATTGATATAATAATAATGATACAGTGGCGCCCTGCATGATGATGATAATCTGTTCCGTTAAAATCGCTGTACAGCAAAATCGTCATCATGTGAAGAAAAAAACCCAATTGAAATGCATTGAAAACCGGTTAATGAGTTCCAATGGGGAAATACCTCATCGTCCAGCGAAGATTGCCCATAGAGAACCGCCAATCAGCTGTTTAAAATTGCTGTCTTCCGAAGCTTCTGTC